CCTTGTCCTTTACCATTTTGGGAATGGCTATTTACATTCCTTGTTAAAATTAATTGATGCGTTATGTTTAATTAAATCCACACAAAAAATGCTATGCTCAACTGCCTTTCGTGGCCAAGAACAAGTCGACCACTTGCCAAGAAACTTAATGAAACAATAAGAAATAAATACGAACAATGAAAAACACAAAAAAAAACAAAATAGGAAGTTTCCTAACAAGTGAAAATAAAAGTAATTCGGACCGACAGAAGGGAGGGCGGGCGTTTGAAAAAAAGAAGGAACTACGAAAACAATGGCCAGAGAGAACAGAATATATTCGTCGCTTCTTGCTTTACATGGCCATGGAAACGAAGAACAAACATCTTGTTCACTAACTCGTATTTTATTCTAACTGATTTTTGACTACAAAAACTGAGTTTTCGTTTCATTTTATTTTCCTATTCTTTCTTTTGTTTTCGTTTGTGTTTTGGCAAATGCGATTTGAGGGCATTACAAAGTACTACATGCACTTGTACGCACACTAACATCAAGTGACACTATACATGAAGGGGTAGGTAATTAAAAATGGCGGGCCAAATCGATGGCCTTTAGGAAATTTTCAAAAGTTAATTTTAAAGTTCAAGGATGTTCTGCAAATACACACCTTTCAACAGGTTGTCAAAAAATGAATGGTTCTTCCATGGTCAGAAAAATCTTTAAGGGGTTTCTGTAGCAAGACGGGTATTCTGTGAACTGGATAACTTCAAGGGGTAGTGTAAGGACATGATACATATACAAGACATTTAAAAGGTCTGTACACACAAGTTCTTTATAATGTATTTGGTAGAATTTAGTAAGATTTTATATAGACATTTAAAGTATTTTAAAAGTCTATAAAAGTTATCGTGTCTATAGATGATCTTAAAAGGTGTTCTTTCCATAGATGTTATTTTTGAATCGCTCGGTCCCAGGCCACTCATACCCGCCCTAGCCGACCTCCCTGTATCGAAGGGAGCGCGAACCCCATAGAAGGATTAGTAAATGGTAGGATGACAGGCTATATATTTTATCAGCCGCAAAGGCTACTATAAATATATACGCATACATACATAATTAAAAGAAATTACAGGAGGACTCAAAACTACTTTTGCACTCTGCTACTTATGTAAACGTAATTTTTTTATTAAGTGTAAAGGTTCAGTTAGCGATATGCTACTATATATATTGTTAAATATTTCACACAATGTTCGCATTGGACTACTAGCTTCATAATTAACATTAATCGAATTTCATATGGGAGAGCCTTACACTTGGGTCCCATTGGAGACCTCGCAAAGCAAACGAAAGAAATTGAGTTTGAAGAGATTCTGTTTTATCAGAATAACACTTGTAGGAGGGACTACACAAAATACAACCATATTCTAGTACTGAGCGAACTAAAGTAATAAATAGGCGTTTTGTCACGTGAGGATCATTAAACTTCTTTGGACCAGCGCTTAATGAATCCTAATAAAGATTTGGTTTTATTAATGCAAGACTTTTTATTGCGATTAAACCTAAGTTTAGGGTCTAATATTACTCTTACATCAACGAAAGACGAAATATTTTCCAACTTTCATAGTATGAAAGACATTCCACTAGCGCTACACCAGTTAGCCAAAGAATGTCAAAGATTGGAATGGCTTGAAAATTCATTCTATGCCGGAAAAGCTTAACATAAAGAGTCGTGTCGTTCCGGAACGAACTTCTTCAAAGAATCTATTACGAATCAGGAACGATCGGAACTAAGTCCGAATCTTTCGTTCACCTAGTTTCTTTTGCTCCAGTTCCTTTAGCTCGATCGTTCCTCTTTGTTCTCGTTAACCTAGTTCCTTGGCACAATAAATAGGTAGCCCATTCAACAGTAAAAGTGTGTAATATCTGCTTGAATTCGATGTGCAATGTTGCCAACCATGTGAAATATTATAAGGACAAATTTAACAGATGGTCGAGACAAAAACAAAAGTTTTTTTGTTTAGATACATCACCTTATTATTGCATCATGGCCTAGTTCCTTTTGATCCGTCGTTCTTTTTTGCTCTTGTTCTCCCAGTTCTTCTTGCTCCCGTTGTTTATTTCTTTCCACCAACTCATATATATGTGAATTAATCTAACATTAGTTGTCTCTTTCTTTTATTGATGGATGAAATATTCCATGTAATAGTTAAACGTTGAAGCAAACGTTCAATAAAAAAAGAGGCATGAACGACAGTATTGAACGAACGAACTGTGGGGTACCAGTGAACGAGTGAGGTAAAATGAACTAAAGAAACGACCTAATTCTTTTTGCGGAGCGTAACGAAAAGGATCGAACTGCTCATGGAAGATTGCCCAACTCTATTAACATCATGAACAGACATTAGTATCTTTGAACCAGTGAGCGGAGCAGTATAGTCGGACGGGGCCGACCATACGATACCCTACACAACTACCACGAACTCTAACTTTCTGAGGATGTTTATTCTAAGTCTGAGTAGTATTTCGTGATATTTGCCCCCTGTTGTCCGATTAGAGGTCAACAACACCTCTTTCTTACTTTTTTCGAATATTCAGTACAGTCCTTCTAATTACTTGTCCAGATTACCTTCACGGTGGGTTGTGTTGTGATTTTCGGATTATACTCTACTCGAAAACACACAAAAAATTATGTTTTCCGTCCATTTCATCCCAAAATTGTATCCTGATCATCACCGAAAATTGTAGGCGTTGTTCTTGACTATAACTGGAACTTCATGAAAAATTTCAAAGCCATCAGCGCGATATTTCTCCCTCTAATGTGGTAATGGGTTACTAAATAATATCTGAATACGTAAGCACCTGTAAATATTTGACTGTAACTCCCACATCTGAGTAGATACATCACTATATTTGGTATCAATTTAAAGGCCAACCACTCCTCTTGGATATGCTATCAACTCCTGGGGTCTAAATCCTCCAGGAGTAAATATATATGCCATAGAATACAAATTTTGCCATTTTTCACACAAAAGTCAGGGTCCATTTGACCCGCTAAATATTGACCGATCTTTATCAAAACATGCATGCTTATTCTCTGGCCCGATCCCCTTCTCCATGCAAAATTTCGCGGTGTTTGGGCCATAATTGCGGCCTCTGGAGCGACCAGAAAAACCGACAAAAATTTAGTATTTGGTCCATTTCATCCCCTAAATATTAACCGATCTTTTCCAAAAACAATAGGGGTCTTCATTGGCCAGAACCCATCCTACATGCAAAATTTCGTGAAGATTGGTCCATAACTGTGGCCTGTATCGTGTTTACAAATTATAATGGACAGACGGACGGACACACATGTCTAGATCGACTCAGCTAGTCGAGATATGACGATCGGTATACTTAAAGGTGGGTCTAGGACCAATATTTCGCGGCGTTACAAACATTTGGGGCTGCACAAAGCTATAATACCCTGACAACATAGTTGTGTAGGGTATAAAAACGGATAACGGAAGGAAGGTCATTGATGTATAGAATAAAAATAAGATGTCCTATGTGACTACCTTGTGGGACTCCTGATAAAAGATTAATATCCCTGGATAATCACCCATTTAGTAACACTTTCTGCGAACGACATTCTAAGTAGTTAGATATACACTTTTAAAAACTAATAGGAAATTATGTTTATAAAGCGAGATCTTGTGTACCAACGTATCAAATGTCTTGCTGAAATCGGTGTATATAACATCAGTCTGCAATTTTTTACTAAAACCCATGTGAAGACCATTAATGAGTTCCAAAAGGTTTGTAGTTGTTGAAGGGGCGAAATTATCGATATTGTGAAATGTTTTAATCTGCTATATATCAAAAGCTCAAACAGTTTAGGCACAGCGCTTATGATTCGAAGAAATCTGCGAACATTTTTGTGAATACTATTTTGAATTCTCAGCGTGGTAATAATTTCAAGCAGCGGCATACTTCGAAACATTTTGTAAAGTATTGTTTTTTAAAGGTATTTTGTCTATAGATGACCTTCTCAAAAGACCTTTGTAAGATAAAATATCTTTGAAAAGTCTTCTAGAGGAAGGAGACCTACAAATATTCTCAATAGGCAGAATATCGTTAAAAGATCTTCTAAACTTATAAAAATGTCCGAGTCGTGTCTGCTATAGTCCAATGACGTTTACAAATTCTTATACAGACAGACGATATTTAAAGGTTATCTATATAGAGGAGGCTATAGACAGAACTCCTCTAAAAGGCCTTCTATATGGAGAAGACATTTTAAAAATGGTTTTATTTAGGTATTCCAAATGCCTTTTAATGGTATTCTAAATACCGAAGGTATCATTTCTATCATGGTATAAGAAGCAAGTATGGTATGAGTGCACGAGACACTCATATGTTCAAAATTTTTTTCTTGCTGTACCTTCACTGTCAAATATTATATTTTTTTGTTCCTAATTAGTTAGATACGTACTGCTGATGGCAAAATAAAAAACTTCTCATACTTTGAAATTGTTCAAAAGATCGAAAATCGGAAAATTAATTATATGGGGCTTTCGAATTTGACAACAAACATAGACTTTAGCCAGATTAGGCTTGGAAGCATATATGAATAAATCAGGAGGGACAACAGGATATTTTTGTCAGAAAATCAGTTCGTTTATATAGAATATTTTTAATATACTTCGTATCTTCTTATCAAAAGGCCTTTTGAGAAAATATTTCTAAATTCAACTCCATCTCATATTAGATCCTTAGTATAACAACTTTATTTCAAATCAATTGACGCTTTGTTGGTGGTGTTGGTAATGTTAACATCTCGCCTGGCATCAGCTATCGACCCAAATGTCTCTAACAAGACAAGCGAAGTTTTAAAGTTAGTGTTTTTGTTGCTTTTCTTCTTTTTGTTGGTGTTAACTTCGTAGTGGGTGCCATGTTACATTTTCACTACATTGGCTGGCATGAAGGTGAGGGAGGGGATGAGGTTGAGGATCGGGATATGGTAGTATAGATACGTCACTTACCTTCAAACTTTTCATATGCAGCGAAGCTTAACTTCTCGGGCACAAATGATGAACGTCTCAAGCCGTTACTTTCGTATGGACCCGCCATGCCGCAACAGCTATCGCCATTATTGATTTTACTGGCACTGCCAGCCGCAGCCTTTTCCGCCGTAAACGAGGCCACTTTCTTGAGGACATTGTTGCGTGGTGTGCACGGCGGTAGAGGCGATCCCATTTGGCTTGTTGCCCCAATAATGCTACTCGATAGAGACACTGTCGGTGGCATTGTTGGCTCGGCATTATCGTTATTGTTCAGTGGCAATTCGTGGGAAAAGGTTTCGTCGGGGGGCGTGGGCGGTGCATTGACACCTGGTAGCGGTGTTTGAGATAGAACAGGTGTTTGGGATGATTTAAATGAAATTATAACGGTTGATTGGGTTTCCGTGGAATGGGTTGGAGTGCCGGGGTAAGCTGCAGCAGTACCACCACCTCCGATTTGTGTTGTGTTCGAATGAAGCGACGATAGCGAGGGCGTTGATGACGACGATTGTAAAGTTGGCAAATGTTTGGCATCCGTTGAAGCTGAAAAGTAAAGAAAAGAAGAAGAGTTTGTGAATTTTTCTGCTTATTTTAATTTACCCAAAATAAAGGAATCACAACGAGGTTCCTTCCTAATTGTTGTTAGCACAATGGCAGTAATAAGATGACAATTGGTAAATTACCTAATCAAAAATATTTCCATTCCTTTGAGAGAAGGATGAAGAATGTCAAAGTTTTGCCAACATAATGGAGGAATACAAATTGGGAAAATTTTCTTGTTATGCATATCATTTGTCATGAGAAACATAAATAGGGGGAAAAGGGGAAAAAGTTTATAAGGATTGCTAAATTTTTTAAACAATTTAAAATAAATATTACCAACAATTTTAATTGGGCAAAATTGTGACTTTTGTAAGAGTGAAATAATTGCAATATTACGGGTAAAAATTTTAAAGGATTCTAAAAAAGCTGCATATTCGCTGATGTTGGTTATATGTGGAAAAATAAAAGAAATCAAAATTGCTTTGTTCAAAATTTAATATTGATCGAAAAAAGGCATACTTATTCGCTCATTATTTATATCATATTATAGGAATAATGGAAAAGCGACCAAACAAACATATAAGTGAGAGCTATATTTAATTTGCTTAAAAGGTCGAGAGGCTTATTACAACTATAGTGGATTTCTTGACCGTCGTTATAAACGATTTCGACTGTATATACTCAAAAATAACTACTAGTCTGTCTTTTTTTGTATGTGACATATACGAGTATCTGTACCAAGTACAAAGGTTTTGTCTGTGAGGATAAAAACATTTAATTAGCGTCTATGACATATATAGATATTTTTATAGTTCTTCAGTATTTAGAATTTATTCGAAATTAATTAGTGTTCGTAGAGTTTAGGTTTTCTGAGAAAGGATCAGTTAAAATTGGAAAAGGATATTGACAACGAACGAATATCGATTTCTTGTCTTTCAGAATTCTGTATAAAAGTTTAAGAATGACATTTTTGTAAAATATTTTGAGGTTAAAACTAATAAAAAAAGCCACATAGGCCAATATGCTTGATGAGCCGCTTAACCAACGACGAAACGCGTCGCATAATGGTACGTAGGCTCTTCTCCTGGCTTTCCTTTTCAAAACTTAGACTATTAAGCTCGACTCGAAAGAGTATAAATAATAACTCAATAATTTTTTTTTTGAAAAATTTTGTTCTGTGTAGTTTGAAGATGGGGCAATATCAAGAACTACTGCACCGATTTGGACCATAGCAGATCAGGTACATAAAACCTGATCTATGGGGCGTGAGGAGTGTTTCTGTGTAAAGTGAAGTTTTTCTGACACATGGCGCAATATTCTACTTCAGTAATAGATATTTGAACAATATTTGCTATGTCGATTTAGTGCACCTTTTATTCTTCTTCGAAATATAAATCGGAAATGACTTTGCAACGGAACCAGACTTGCAGTGAAAACAAAATTTTTAAGGCAAAGCAATGTTTGCCAGGCTCAGCTAGTAATGACATAAAGTAACAGCAAGTGTTGTTGTACAACAATCATAATCAACAACCATATACAATTTGTTGGTAGAAACTAATACTAACATCATACGAAAATTTGGACTACAATCAGTTAAAATAGATGATTGTTCTCTAAAAAAGAGGACATTACATAAGTCAAAAACTTGACAAATGCGAATTTGTCCGTCTGGGAACCTAATATACTCGCCAAGAGCTTTTAGAGAGCCGCCTGAAAATGAGCTCCATTTTGTGTCACAGTGATCCTCATACCAAATTGCACTAACAGCCAAAGTACTATTCGCTAACCTCTTACTTAAATCAATGACATAACCTAATAAAGACCGATTAGAACAATTAATAAATTATCGTACAGTTACGAATTAATAAAAATTACTTTGTAGATCTACATTATGGGGATCCTCGTACTAAATTTCAATATTCAAACGCAATTCATACTAAAGTTAGTAATATTTAGAATTTTATGTGCACCTACATTTATTAACAGATATGAATTCATATTGGCAATTCTTCTACCAAAGCAAAAGCTTCACTCCTTCACCACATATTAAATGTACTAATTTATTATTATTTACAACTTGTGGCGAGAATAGGGATATCCACCTCGCTAACGCCAATCAAAACAAATTTATATAGGAAAGTTCATTAATGAAACTCCATTCGTCCGCCAACTACTAAATGTACTAATTTTAGTACGAATATCCAAAATACTACTTTTCTCAAACCTAGAGAGCAACAAATTTAGTATTAATTTTCAAACCCGCCTAGTATAACACACACTAATGTAGCGATTATCATACCAAATTTCAATATTCTAGCTCAATGCAGGTAATAAATATCACTTTTACTAAATTTAGTACAATTTACAATTTCGTGCTCAAATGAGTACTATTTCATATTCTAGGTATGATACTTGTTAGTACATTTTGTACACTTTTGGCACGGGTTTACAAAAAACCCTTTGACAAAAAACCACAAACTTCAAATGTCAGAGTTATAGAACTATTCGTTCACTCATTATCAGTGCTACCATTTTTAGTACTTTTTGTACGAATTTGCACAAACCCAGCCTTAACACGCACATTCGTACCTATAACTACACACATACCAGCATTGAAGATTCTATCCTCAGCCGTTTCTTCTGGGTGTTTATTATTACATTATTTTAGTACTTTTCGTACCATTATAGTACGAATTTCCAAAAACCCACAAAAATGCAGGATTCTCGCTTCAGTCGTTTCGTCTGTGTGTTGATTGTCAGGTTTACAAATTCCCCCAAATCCAGCCTTAACGTTCATCTTCGTACCAATACTGACTCATGTAAAATTTTAAGATTCCAGCTTTAGTCATTTCGTCTGAGCCTTGATTATAAGCCATTTTGAAAAGTTCGTAAGTTACCCTATTATATATAGATTATCTATACTGAGATGAAGACTTTTCAATGTGACAGCCCTGCAAAATTTAACACCGTGATGATCTGTTGAAACCTTCAGACTTAAGGGTAATTAGGGTATAGACCCCAAGCGTCTTTGGAACAAATTCATTTCAGAAAATTTCGTATATATTTATAAATGTCCGTCCGTATGCATGGTCCGCAGATGGCTACGATAACTTTCGAAAGGGGTAACTGATATGGCCCGAACGTTGCCCAATGAAATATTCCCCTCAAAACATAGATAAATTTTGATCAAAATATACGATATTCGATATACTTTCGGGCAAGTTTATTTATTTTCGTTAGTAACTCGATTAGAATTGCCACTTTCAAAAAAATCTGAGCTGCATAACGACGCTTTCACTTCAATACAAGTTTACCAAAGTGGTGTAGCCTTAAAAAAATACAAAATACACAAAGTGTTGCGGAATTCCACAATATTGGGTACTTTTAACTTCATTTTTCCTTCTTGTCACAATCAACACAAACATCTCATTGTTAAAAAAGACAAAGGGGAAGGGATGAGGTGAAGTGTCATAAGTCAAAAAATACCCTTCTTTTACAAGATGATGCTGTACCCTTCCATTTTGTGCTGTTTTATTTTTCTTATTGTCAAAACAAAAATGGGAAATAAAATTATGCACGTGTTAATTAAAAAGACAATGTACGAAATGGGTCAGTGAATTTCAATAGACAAGAAAGTGGAAGGTGTAAGGCAAGGCAAGGCTTTGACAACAATTCATAACCGCAATTATATTGAATTACCTTCATTAAGTAGTCATTCTCATCCAGTCCCAACTCAAACTTTAAGATGCTAGTAATTTCATTTCATTTTTTTTTTCTCTAAATTTCAATTGAATGGTTTTGAGGCAAGGCAAAAAATGGGTTTGAACCGCAAGATCGTCAAGGGAGGGAATGGCATATTTTGAGTTTTGTTTCGTGAATTATTTAATTATGGCCGTTGTCATCGACAATAGGTCTTTCAATGGTTATTTGGCATTAAACGACATTATTTTTAATACAATTTGCTAAAATTTCCGGGTTAAGTGACCAAAATACTATTCGAAAAATGTTTGGATTACAAAAATCAAACAGTACTCGATTATAAATAAATATATGGATTTCATTAAAGTTGCAATATCAAATTTGGCAGATATTTTAGTAAAATCCATGACATTAGAAAAATAACTACCAAAATATAGGTATAAATTCTAATATCAACCGCCCATCTGTCTAATCCACCGACAATAACCTGCCAACTAATTTATATGTCTGCCATACAAATTCACATTAACAATATTCATGGTCTGCATGACACACGTGCACTTCGGTTTTGTCAATTCATGTCCAGATTATTTAATATCATTTTACCGACTACTTTTGCTAACCACTTTCTAATATCTTGGGCCTTTCGTGAAAATATTGCAGAACGGTAAGTCATTTTGATAGCTTTGAAGAGTATTTGTTTTTGCATTTTGTAGTTTGTTTTATAGTTATTGTTGTTATCATTTTTATTAGTATTGTTCTTTGTCTATGGTTTTCGCCTACATTTTATTTGTACTAAATGTGGGCCATTAAGTGGGCATATGGTTTGGTGAACAAGTGCAAACCCAAGTAAAAGTTATGTTCTAACATTGTAAAGTTCGACTGTGGTATTTAATGTAAACTGCGCATTTGAAATAAAACAAAATTTAAATTAAAAAAAAAAATTAAAAAAATTAAAGGAATGTTGGAAATATAGCGCCCAAACCATATTAGCTGGTTTGTCACATAACTGCCTCACCCTGCATACCCTGCGGATTAAAATTAACTTCCACTGAGAAAAATGCGACGAGCCGAGACGAGTCCGTCTTTTGCGAATTAAAAAAGGTAGCACGTCACATTAATAATTAATAGTGAGCGGATATGTGCCGCGAGTTCATGCATAAGAACTATGAACAAATGGGTTGAGGCGTCGGGTTAGTTGTCCATACTCGGAAAACCCCTCCTACTATGAAAGAAACAACAAAAAAGAAAACCAACCCCCCCTAATGTTGACGACCCTCGCAAACGTATAAAGGACCACG